TATGTCTGCCTACCACATTCTTAAATTCTTGGAGGGGAATTCACTGGACCAGTGCTGATACTGCAAAGTAGCTCTTACACGACTAGCTCAGAAGTCAGGAAGTACTTTTTTTTATTTTTGTAAACTAACAAAGGATGGAAAGTAGATGTTCTAACTACAGTGTGCATGTGAGCACTGTTTTTCCCCGGGTGACATCAGTGTTTGCCATTGCTGTTCATCACCATGTCACCCTGCACTCTGCAGTCCAAAATCTCTGTCATTTCCAAATCATGGACAACTCACACACAGAGCTGAGCTTCATTCCACCACCTCCCTGAAATACATGGGCTGTGCTGTGTGGGGCCACCTCTGAGTGCAGGAAGGTGGGCTGCCTGTGCATATTAAATCACATTTTTCCGATGAGACAGCAGAAACACTGCTAATCAGTGCCAGCTGTGGCGGGGTGGGGTGTAGCACACTCGGAGCCGCCGGCACTGCCGGGAGCCTGCAGCCCACAGGAAGGGAGATGAGAGATAAAACCTCGTGCCCTCCTCGCAGACCAAACCCGCGCAGCTGCCCTAAGCATAGGGCTGATTGGGGATGCACAGCCGAGAGAGAATCTGCTTCCCCTCTCCCAGCAAACCGGAGCACTCCAGCCCCGGGAACAGGGACAGGCGGGTCCCAGCGAGCCACGAGATGGCGCTGGAGCCCCCATCCCGCATCCTGAGCCGCTGCAGAATTCCAGCCCTTCCCAGCGCTCACAGAGGATGCGGCTCCTTCCACTTCATCAAAGTCAGAGGAAGTCTGTGATTAGCTGGATGTTTACAAATAAAAGGAGGATCTGGAGACAGATCAAAGATGGCTCTCCAGATTTGGCTCGATACCAGGTTCCTGCGCTAACAGCATCCGCATGGGTTTCACTCTTATGTTCAGTGGCTGAACTTGGTGTATCTCATCATGCATTAACAATGCTTTTTCAAGGCTTAGTGCATTTATTAGAAGTCTGAAGATTCAGCCAGCTAAGGACCTGAAGAAACAAAACAACAACACGCCTCAGCCAACAAGATCTTCCATGCTCCATCTAAGAGAAGCACCCACTGGGTTCTTCCTCACCCTGCTTCTTGCAATGTAAAGGGAACCAAGAAGCAAAGATAAGCACTGTTCCAAAATCCAAAGGATGGAGTACTTCAGTCTTAGTAAACAGGAGCAGTAGCTCCTCTAACGCTCTCTAACAATCTAAGTAGCTTGGATGGTCCCATCACACCCTTTATACTTTTCACTGAGGAGACTGTAGCTCATTCAGGATCTCAGTGGCCTTGTCACTGCCCAAAGGACCAGGGAGAGAAGTAGATGGGAGATAAAAGATGTGTGTGAAATACACTGAGTTAATGTATATGTGTTCTAAGGGACATCTTTGTTTTGACTCTGTGCAACAAACCAACATAGCTTGTGAGGTCTGGGAGGCCACAGACTATTCATTCCTTCTCTCACAGCAGGGCTCTGTTTGAAGCTGGTATTTCTGTTTGGGGTCTAAGCCACACTGAACTTGATCAAATAAACATTCTCCAAAGGAAACTGCCTTTGAACTATTTAACTCTTTGCACCACAAACTAAAGCTGAAAGAACTGTAACAATTACTGTAAAATCTCTTGTGTCTTGACTGAGTTATTTTTCCAGTTTTTAAGTTACTGTACATCAGGACCTCTGTCTTTTCTGGCAGAACTGACTGTGTCAGCAATGGCCAGTAAAATCTAAGTGAAACACAATCCATCTGAAAGCAGACTAGGTGGGGCTAACCCTCAGACTTCCAGGCATGCAGAGTATTAAGTGTCATATTTTACAGCATATGTAAGTGTAAACAACTTCTATTTAATTCACCTGATAACAATGTAGCTCAGACATCTGAGCTCTCTCCTGGGCTGTGGGGCATACTAAGACAATTTCTTCATCAGTTCCAAGAGATCCTACCCTGTATTTCTTCCTCCTAAAATATTACTGTATCTATTCTTTTCCCAAAGGAGGGATACTTTAGATTTTGTCTCTTAAAGTGTTTCTGATTTATTCTAAGTAATTCAATAACCAATGGCTAGAAACCAGAACCTCAGTAATTTGGAAGCTGGGACTCTACCAGTAGGTACCAATAGGAAACCCACAGGCAGGGAAGAAAGCAGGGCACCATCTTTAGCATCCTAAATAAAAGCCCTAACAACAACTTGTGTAAGAGGAGTGTAACTGACACCAGAAGTCTGGTGTATCTGCTGCCAAAACCAAAAGCAATTTATGGTATTCAGCAAACTCTATTTTTAGCCAGCTTATCTGCATTTCCACAAACTTTCATGGTCTTTGGGGCTTTTGCCATGGAGAGAAGGATAATATGTTATTTTTCCCTTTCATTTTCTGGGGAATCAAAAGCAGAAGTCCCTCTGGTGACCACCCGCAATGTAGTGGGATGGTTACCTAAAAAGGAGAGAACAGGTATTACTGAGTTGTGTAGGTTCAACTGAACATGTGAAAGCTATTAAAGAAAGCAACTTCTTAGCCCTAATCATTGATTTAAAATAGGAAAAAAGCAAATCTTCCTTTTCAAAAAACAGAAGGCAAATAAAAGAGCTGAAAGGATGCATTTCTAAAATAGCAACCTTGACATCAGGGGAGATGGGGGAAAAGAGAGGGGGAAAGATTGGTTTTTGCATCTTTGTGTTGGCAACACAGCTGCTGCAGAGACCTTGGCAATTGCTGACACTGGTGGCACTTTGCCTGACAGACAAATTGAGAAACTAAAGATTTACAACAGTCCTGATTTCCAGTGGATTTCCTACAAACTACACAGCTTCCAGGATTTAGAGGCCTATGAGGGATGCACTCATTCCCTTTCAGGAGTCTGGGGATGTCTACAGAACTACAAGACAGATTTATCTGAAGTCACCTATTATTTGCAAACAAAAGTAAGTACACCCCAAAATGTCATTGATGCAAATCACACGAGTTTGAGTGAAAACAATAAATGCAGCAGAACTTTGTCAGAGAGGGAAGTTCTTGAACCATTTCTTTTTTTTTTCCTCCCACCGGAAATTCTACATGCAGCATTGTTTTTGTGGTTGTAGCTGCAGGAAGATTTACTATGGTTTTTAGTATGCCAGAAGGCACAGGAAAGGATTAAAGCTTTTCATTTTCTTGCAAGAGAATCAAAGATCCTGACCACGTCTGAACCTCAAGGTTGCTGGGGTGAGGTGTGCCACGCTGGCTACACAAAAGAGACAGTCAAACCTGGCCCTGGACCATCTGAGAATTTCTCATCTCACAGTTCTGTTAAGTTCCCTTTAGATCTGTTATGTTCCCTTAAACATATTAATAACAAACTTTAGAAATGTATTTCCAACCACTCTTACAGAGGGAATCTGCGTGAATTACTGACAACCATTTCTCTAAAAGCACAATGCACGACGTTGTTTTCTTTTGTCTTACATTAATTTTAAAATCCCCACCCTTCAAGATATCTGAGGGTAAAAATAACCCAAATAAAGCTCTGAAAGCATTTCCCCTATGAAGCTGGCACTGGCCATTCAAGTACATGAAAAGGAACATGGGCTGTTTGTTTCAGGGCTGAATATTTATAGTCATGATGAAGTGATTCCTGAGTCATGAGCTCTACTGCCCTGTTACAAATTAAGATTTGTCTTTCTGCATTAAAAAAATAAAATCAGAATTAATTCCAGAACTGTGGAAGTGACTGCAAAAGCAGCAAAAGACACTTAATTTATAAAATGTGTCCTGATTTTTGGCATCTTTTCCCTACAAAATCTCAGCCTACTCACACGTCTCAAGAATACACCGCACAGCAATATTTTAGGAGTTTTTGGAAGTTGGAAGAAAATACAGAAAACTGGTTTATAGCTGAGAACTACAGAAATGTCAGCTTTTGAAAACATGTTCCTAATTTGTAGCTTTCAGCAGACTTTATAAAGTCAAATTAGTCATGTTTCATCTTGTAGGTCTTTAAGTCTGCGACAAGCATCAAACCAGCTGAGAATTAGGGAAGTCAGAAGATTTGATTTTTAACCCTCTGAGATTGAGAAGCACTTAAAAGTCAGAAGCACACAGGGATAGTAACAGATACTGCCAGCATCAGTTTAACTCACAGAGAATTACCCTGAGCTTTCAGCATTAGACCAAAATGAGACAACTGTCTCCCCTTACTGAGAAAAGCAGCAAGGGGCAGAGGCCAACAGAGGAGCACCACAGCTGCATCTGGGCCCACAGCTGGAGGGCAGCAAGGCCAGAGGAAGGTGGGAGCCATTCCTGGGGTTTGGCCAGACAAGGGGCCCAGCTCATTCCTGGCCCTGGGCCAGGCCAACCACACAAACCCAGTGGTGCAGAGCACTACCCAGTCTGCTTCAAGAAACACCAAGAAAGCTCTAGAGCATATTTGTGGGATGAGCTGAATGCAGGAAGGTTTCCAGTTCTCACGAAGAGGGCAGATAGCAGAGATGTGTCTCATTTGTAAGAGGTTGGGCTGCCTTTTTCCTTATCAGGAAATAGGAGATGAATGTAAGAGTTCAGCTTCCCCGAGGATGCTGGGGGGAGACAGAGACCAAGTTAAATTCAGGACATGCTCTGAGTTCTGGTACAGCTCGTTTCAGCAAAGGAGCCCCCTCCCAGCCACTCATTCCTCCCCTTGTGCCACCCCTCCTATTGTGCTTGCACAAGATCTGACACAGAAATGGAGAGGGAATCACAGCAGGGAACTGATCCAGCCAAAAAGCAGCCCCACAGGGAACAGAAAAAAGCCTGTTGTTTGATTCAGAGCATAGTGCAGCTCCATAGGTACTGCTCTTTGACAACGGAGAGGGTGGCACACAGGGGACAGGAGAGCTGAAACTAATGGGGAGAAGTAAAGGGCTGCCAGGGCTCAAGGTGGCACAGCCCCCAGGAGCAAATTCATGTCCTCACCAATAGCTCTGAGCCTCTTGATGGTTTAGCACTAGAGTATTTAAATACAATCGTGTAGTCAAACTATTCACTTTTATAACAATGTATTTTTAATACATTCTCCAGGGCAATATATTTTCTGTCTACAGCTTTGAATAAAAAATAGGCTGAATTATATGTTTTAACCAACTGAAAGTATTACACAGAGAAATCCCCTAATTAAAGCATAAATTCTTAGAATTCCATGATACTCTATTTATTGAAATCAAGATTTCTCCACAGACCTCTTGGCTACAAATATCATTATACACAAATGTAAATACTCTTTGAACTAACAAGTCAGCAGGAAACATTTACAAGTGTATATATATTAACATTTTAAACATCTCCTCTGAAACTGAAAAAGAAGCTCAATAGGTTTTGTGATATTTTGATATTTTAAAGCTCATATCAGGTCTTCATGAATTCCCTCTTTTTAACTTCCAGTAAATCTTGAAAGCTAAGAGCTAGGCTGGCCACTTAAAAATTCTCAGGATTGCAGCCCATAGCACTCCCAAAATGGGAAAAACAACAGAACACAGAGAGGTCCTCCAAAAATAAGAATAGCAAATCATTTTAAAATATAACTTATGGCATCCAGAAAATCTTTTTCTTTCTGGCTACGCCTTGTGCAATGCTTACACCTCCAGTTTTAAAGATCCTTAAGGGTTTTTACATGCTAATATTCACTAGGAGACGGAAAGGAGCAATGTTATGGCAACAGAAAAGCACAAATGAGAGGAAAAGAACTCTTAAATAAAATATTTTTTGCTTCCCCTTCACGATCTTTCAAGTAACTGCAAAACTTCTAGGATAACTGCTATTGATTTTTTTTCACGTCTGTTTTTGTTCTGTCTCCACGTTAAATCATTTTTGTATGGTAGAAGCACTGAAACACCATCATTTCCCTCTCCTGCAGATGCTGTCCCATTCTGGGGAGAACATTCAGGAGTGGCCAGCCCCAGGCTGCCTCAGCACCCAGACCTTCTCCCCTTTCACAGCAGCCAAATTCCTCCTGTCACTCCAGGCCTTTTCTCTAACAGTGCCATGCTGTTCCCCTGCACGCTTTTACATTTCATCTCAAATACTCATCTATTTAAATACCCATCTCATTGCAAGCCAGGCTGACTTGTTTATGTTCTCCTATACTCCCCTTGATCACTTCCCAGGCTACTTCAGTCATTCTGATTTTTTCTGCCTACATGTAAGTAGATCCACTTTGAAGCTTCCCTGCAGTGCAATTCATGCTCTTTGTGAGCCTTAGCATGGACTTTCATACATGTGAACTCCAAGGCACTGGGTTTTGTTTCCCTAGAACAGGAAAAAACATCAATTCAAGTTCAGTTGGAAAGGTTTAACAAACTTTACTTTGAAAGGCTACTACAACAACACAGCTTATAATTGAAAAACAGAGGTATTCAGGGTGTTTATAAAGTTAGATAGTACACGTAAATACCATCATTCCCATTTTCTCCATTTAACTTCTGTAGTTGACAGGTCTACTTGCACTAGGAAGTCACATTTTTTAAGAAACATTTTTGGGTCAAGTTCAGACCAATAAACTCTAAACAAGGGCTCCTGATCCTGAGCAGGAGGCTCTCTAAATCACCCTTAGCCCTTCTCCGAGTTCAGGAGTGATCCCTTACACGGCAGAGGTCACCTCCTGCCTTTCAGCAAGGCCTTTAATCGGGGCCGTGCCGTGTCCCCGCAGCGCTGGCCCAGCGGGGCCGGCCGTGCTCGGTACGCGACCGGCGCTGCTTTGTGAGCTCACGGCTCAGGCCCACAGCTCCCCAGCCAAGCTGAGTCATCCTCACTCTGCTCTCACAGCCGGGACATTTTATCCACTCCTCCAGCCACCCCCTCCATGCCACCTTTGGGATTTGCTTCCCACTGCACAGCTCTAATCCTGCCTGCCTGCCTTTGCCGCTCCCTCCCATTCAGGATCTCTTCTCCCACTCAGTATTTCCACTCCTCCACTGCCACCAGACCCTCCTGCCAGCTCCCCCAGCGCTCTCCAGTTCTCCTTCACTTCCCTTGACTGCTTTTCCCAATGCAGCTGGTACTGTGAGGGATAACTGCAGGTCAGAGAATCACTGTGTGCAGTGTATGAAGCCCCCAGCTCTGGAGTGCTGGAGCATTCTTATATTCATGCCTGTGCTCTTTTGGCTCCAGTGCTGTTGAGGACTTGGTTGACTTCAGCATCGTACAAGAAAAAATAGGACTAAGCAGTTAAAGCAAAACACTAAAAGCCCACTAAACTATGCCCAAAGCAGCTGGTGCCTCAGAGCAGCTGCTGGCTCAGCACCAAGGGCTGGTGGGGGAGCCTTCTCCATCACTGCAGAAATGCACACGTCTGCCAACCAAGGGAAACCCTAATGCACGTTGGAAACTGAATAAATGCAAGGCAACTCACACTACTTTTAACAGTAGAAGTGGAGATTCTGAATTGTAGATTCACTCCTCTGAATAGTCTAAAATTAAAACTTGATACCCTTCATAATCCCTAAGAAATGAGGAATGAAACTCAACTCTGACAGAAACAAGCACATGAAAGCCGTGGACTAGACCATCATCAGCTCTTGGCTCCTATTCTCAACCCCACCACTGGCACATGAGGTGATAGAACATTTCAGCTGGAAGGGACCTGCAATGATCATCTAATCCAACTGCCTTAATTGCTGATCTAAATTACTTTCCTCCCTCCATAGCTGAGCAGGAAATAGCATTACCACACTCTTTGATAAAGTGAGATCTGCTGGGAGAAACTACAACTAGGTTTTATTTTGTGTTTCCTCCACAGTTACGTATTGGGATCCTTTCCTCCACCCCATCACAAATCACACACTTAACAAACGTTTAGACAGCTGGTGCCTAAAAGTCAAAGCCAGTTGCTCTCTCAAAGGCCAAAGTGCCTCACTGAATTGGTGTCAGCTGGTATTTAGTAGGATTTTTAAATTCAATTAAATTAAGAGGCAAGCTGCACAGATTAGGGCTCTGCTAGAATGAGAAAGAAATCTTAAAAGGCATAAAATATCTTTACATTTATTAAGCAAACTCTGCAGTCTTTTCTTTTTATATTCTTGTTGAAAAACAGAACATCCATAAAGTATCATGAAAACAAGAAGCAAAAAAACCTTAAGGTCCCAAGCAATGGGACTATCTCCACACTCACCCTGCTTTTAACTTTCCAACACAAGCAGCAAGACACAGTTCACAGCTAGGCTGAAAATGCAGTGTTCAGTGCACATGGCCATCCTGCATTCCTAGCAACCCACCACGGCCACTCCTCCCTTGTATGTTAGGACAAGCAGGTTAAATATACCCACAGAGGTACAGACAGTGAAAGAAAGGCCAACATCAGTTGAACAGCTCTGCTAGGACTTCCCATCTGGAAAACAACCACTGTGCTGGAACCCAATGGGTTATCCCAAGAGTCATTAATTCCCTTCCCCCTTGTGCACAGCAGCCCGAGCCTGCAAGGGTTAACTGAGCCTATGTGCTCTCACCCCTGGGAAGCAGCTTCCAACAAAGCCAAGAAGCACGGGACCAGGACAGCCAGCTCTGCCCCTGCAGCAGAGTCAGAGCCCAAAGGATTATTTCTTGGCATGGCTGGTTTGGGGTTGGTTTGGCTTTTTTTTTTCATTTCCAAAATTAATTTGGGGATTACGAACAATTACGCTCTTGCACATTAATCGCTGGCATCTAAAATTCTCACATGAAGAAACAACACATGGAAATATTAAAGCACTCATCTTATGGACATGGATCCGAGAACTGTTTAATAGCAGTCAGTGAAGGGGTAACATTGTGCTTTTAATCTACAGTTTAAAAATAATGATTTGTATATCTACGTAGTAAAACAATAAAATTAAGAACAGAAACTGGTATTAGGAAACAGTGAAAATGTAATAATTAAACACATGATGCTTTTCAAAGCTTTATACTTAATGAGCCTAAATAGACACCTATGGTTAGGAGGGTCTTAAAAAAATAATAAAAAAGAGACTTATTTTCAATTTTTTTTCCTTTTCAAATTTTTTTACTATACTTATGCTTTGCTTTGGTGTTCTCTCTGCTGCCAACTTAATGCTTTAACAGTATGTTTATGCTTATGTTCTTTTCAAATGCTTGGCATTATAGTGAGATCTCATATCTTTCCTCAAATTAAATTTTGCTCCACATACTCCACATGTATACAGATGAACATCCCTGTGCTGCTCCAGTTGCTCATTATTTGGGAATATCTGAAAGCAGACCTGGCATATAGTCTCTCCAGCTGATAAGTGAGATATCATATGCCGTACATGGTCATGTTTTCGGAAGTTTCCTTGATCACAAATGGAACAGACATACCTGGCCATGCCTTTGTGCATATCATTGTGGAGCCGCAACTGGCGCTCTCTTAAGAACTGCTTCCCACATGTCTGACAAACAAACTGTTTTTCCTTGGTATGAACGGTATAGTGTTCCCGCAAGTGGCAACGCTGATAAAATCCTTTCCCGCAAAGGTTGCAGAAATGCTTACGCCTGTGATCCCTCTCGTTCTCTTCCAACATGGAGTTCTTGAACAGATCTTGCTCCAGGCAGTTTGACATATGTTCAACCACTAGGTTTTCTGTATCAAAACGCTGGCCGCAATTAGGGCATCGGAAAGGACAGGCAGAATGCTTGTATAACTGGTTTTTTTGAAGGCTGTTCATTTGGAAGTGACCGTCCCTGAAGTCCTCTAGCATCTCTGCAAACATCATGTCCCTTATTTCTGACTGCTCCTCGGGGTTTTCTTCCAAGTCCATTTTCTCCTCAGAATTTCTGATCCCGTTCATGGTCAGATCCTGGGGTTCTCCACAGGTCTGTGCATGCTCCTGTAGCTGCTTGCCTTTGACCAGTATTTGACCACACTTGCCACAAGCACATATATTTTCTATGTGTTTGGATAAATAATGAGAGGACAGATCTTCCTCAGTGATCGTTAGCCCACAAAGTTCACAGGGAGCATTCTCCACATCTTCCTGCACTGAAGAAGCCTTGCTGTTAAGGTGCCGTGGACTTTTCAAACACTTTCTTTCATCCTCATCCATGGATAAGCGAGGCTTTAGAGTCTTCCGAGCATTTCTCTTCTCTCTCATCTCCTCCTCGACGTAGTATCTGTAAAGCGGCTCTTCCTGTTCATCGTCTAGGTCGTCATTGTCAGAAGACTCATTGCAGTCTTTATCTGCCACCTTGATAATATTAAAATCCTTCAGCTCATCCGTAGGATTGTCCTCTGGCTCCACCTTGATGATAATCCTCTTCCTCTCAGAGGCTCTACTTCCTTCTTCACCTGATGTCTCCGAGGCAACAGTGCTGCTTTTTCTGCTCGTGATGTTTGACACGGGAGACGATGAATCGTCCGCAGCATGGTTCGAGTCCCCCTTGTATTTTTCTGTTTGTGTGGAGATCATTTTAGAAGTAGAGTTCTTTTCACTGAAGTCTATTTTCTCAGCACTGTAGTACCTGGCACTTTGGTAGGAATGCCTGTTGGTGCATGTTAACACGTGCTCATCCAGTAGCTTTTCACAGCTGAAGCTAAACCCGCAGCTGTCGCAGGTGAAGCTCCTTCCAAACCGGCGCGAGTGCGACACGCGCTCTTTCGTGTGAGAGAATTTGGACGTGGTGCTTTTTTTGCAGACATCAAACAGTTGCTCAGGGAAGCTGTTGAGGTGCAAAGTTTCTTCCTCAGGCTCTTTGTTATGGGATGTATTTACCGTTGAACTTGGTGGTTCCATGCCCCACCTGTTTGCTTCACTGCCATTTCTAGCAAGTGCGTCTTCATACATTCTCACACCAAATATCATTTTATTAGTCTGCGTGCTAGAAGCAGGAGATGAACATTTTAAACTAGATGAGTCTGTGTCCTGTATATCTTCTAGACACTCAGGCACATTATAGAGCTGTAAATAGTTCATGGCCACTTTAAATTGCTCGAAATTGGCAGGGGCTGTCATAATTTTTCCTAAATACATGAACTGTAAAATAAGATCAAAGCATTCAGCGCTAATCTTCATGTTGCTTAGATTCAGCTGGGCTGTAGTGTTTTGATGGTTCATAAAAAACATCCTAAAATAGGCGCTGCAGGCAGCAAGGACTGCTTTATGTGCTTGAAAATAAATATCATCGATAGCGATGCAGCAGTCGCACAGAAAGCCCCACTCTCTTTGCTTGTTTAGCTGCTGAAGGACATAGTTGCTATGGCTGGTTTTTGCCATCTTGTACTTCGATTACAGCCCTGCATAAAGAAAAAGGTATCTGTTAAATCATGAGCACAAACCCCAAAGCCTACTTCGACGTAGGGAGGAACTGCCACCTCTTTTCTCTCTAGATCTTCCTATTCTGCCAGTCTGCAGCACAACTTCCTGTCTGGAGATCTCTGCTGGTAACTGCTTCTGAATATTGATGCCAGTGAAAGCATCCATAATTCCATGTGCTCACCACTAGACTTACAAGACTAGTAAACTAATAAACATAACCAGCACACATGTCAATCAGAGCTGCTAGAATATAAATTAGCAAATATATCTCCAAGTCCTACAGCCAAGGTTTTCAGATATGAATTCTGAATGCAGAACTTCAAAAACTTCAGAGGGTAGACTTCTGTAAGATGGCCCCAGGACAACACCTATACAAGGCTGTCAGAAACCACTCTTCAGTCTCAACTTGCCTTTTTACCTGTCAGTCCAACGGGCACATGATGCAACACACACTGGAAACCAGGCCAGGCTCAAACTGGTCTTTCCCTCCCCATTAAAGGAAATTAAGAGACAACAGAGCACCCACACAAGCTACTCCACACATTCTGCTCTTTGTGGCAGCTGAGGGACCATCTCAACCTTCTCTGCAAGGCGTCCTGCAAAGCAGGAACTGCAAACTCCAACGCCTTCTCAGAAGCAGAGGGCAGCCCAGCTGCGGTGGCACGTCCCACGTTCGAGCCCAGAGCTGCAGATGGTGACCAGGCGAGCTGCGTGACAGCCACAGGGACTGCAGAGGCAGGAAGTGGTGCACGCCGTGCCTCCAACTGCTCTCAAAACCACTCGTTGAGAGCGCTGAAATGTAACCAAAACACGTAGATGGGAAACCGGACAAAGAAAAACTCAGCAATGGAGAACTGAGAGAGCCAGAGGTGGAGCCACGGTGAAATGAAGCCTCGGTAAAGACTGGAGAGAAAGGTCTGCCAGTGCTGAGGGTTGCTCTATGTGAAAGGACTAACTTGTCCTCAAGAGAAAAGAGGAATAAAATATCATGGTTTATGTAAACAAAAATATCCAGAAGAAATGCAGTGTATAAAGGAGGCGTGTGTTTGATTAAAGACAAACTTCACCAAGTGGGGCCAGCACCTAATCACGACTCACTTTGGAAAACCTTTACTGATACACATAAGCTGTTCTAACTGCACAGGCTGAGGGGGGTAAGGAACCAGAAGAGGGTATATAGAGAGCACCCTAATTGAAATGAAAAACATAAAGCAGTAATGAGGATTCTTAACATTTTGAAAGGTTATTGCAAACAGTACAAATAACTGTATGAGGTTTGTGCAAATAAAGACTAGGCTAGCAAATAATATATACTAAAGGGCATTTTATGACTCAATGAAATGCATGGATTGATTTGCAACCACTCTTTCAACTGCCCAAAATTTAAACACAACACACACACAAATGCTCCATTTTTCTTTGTATTTTCCTAACAGCTTACATTTCCTAGGGGGAAAAATGGGTAGAGAAATTAAATTCCCCAATTAGTGTTGAATTCGCAAGTCATAGGCGTTGCCTGGCTTGTTAAGCAGCAAACCTAGAATTAAGTCCCCATTCTTCATTCCACAAAGGACTGCCACAGCAGAAAGGCTCCCAAGATCTCAAGAAAAGAACATGCTCACCCCACCCAGCAATATTCCCTACTGCCAACCCACACAGCAGTTCCTGTGGATCACCCCCAGCACAAGATCTTGTCTGGCAACAGGAACCTTGAGATTTGGGTTGAACTATTCTGACAAGGAGCATCTGAATGGCAGCTGCTCCTCTCCTCTCTATCCAACCCTCCACACCCAGAACTCCAGGCTAGCACACTGCCATAATATTCTCAAATTGGTTTGGCCCACTGATGTCCACTGCAGAAGTGTAAGTCATTGCATGGAATTAATTTCTCTTTTTCTACTAACTTGCAAGGCAATGGCTTTGAAAGTAGGAGAACCTCTGAAGCAACTCCACATCTTTTCAACAGAAACTGATTATCGTCTGTGTCACTGGGTGATTTCAGAAGTTTCTGTGAAGAACAGCAAAGCTCTTGACATCAAGTAATAATAAAAGTGCACTTCATATTCTTCCAAGTGGTAACGTGTTTGGGATTTGAGGCAATTCATTAGATGCTTAAATGTTACTCAATCTATTGTATTAAGAATGGCAGCTGCATAATGATAAGGAATTAACTTCAACTTCCACATTCTAAGAGTGAAAACCAGCGAGAAAATGAGATGATCCCATCTAAGGCACCACTGGCCTCTCAGTGTGAGCTGCCAGCACGAAAAGAAAAGGCTCAGGACAGCTCATGTTAACTTCCCCATCCTCACAAAGTGGCAAGTCCAAAATGTTGTACTTAACTGTGGTTTTTTTACACTAGATACACTCCACTGTGCCCTCCAATAGAAAATCAGCAATACAAACAGCAAGCCTGTACAAAACAGGTGGTCACAAACTATCTGCAGGCACCTGCAGATGGGGTCGTTTCCAGATGGTGGAAACAACGAGTGGCAGCACACAAACTGGCCTTTTTCAAGTCTTCTTCTTTGAAAATGGCAAAAGATATTTCTCCCTTTGACAGATGAACTCCTGCAAAGCTTTTAGCATGTGGATCCTGACGTGCAACAATGACCCACTGGCAATGCCAGCACTCAGGGAAAAACAGGTGTAGCATGAGGCTCCTTGAGCAGGATGGCAAGGTTTTGGATTTGACATGTTCTTGGTCTCTAACACAGTAGTAGTACATTTAGTAGTAGGTATAGTAGTTTATGAGGTGATTTATGTTAATGACAGTCCTGGCATCCTGCCTCTGGATGCTGTATTAACCTGCTGGATGTAACTTCCCACCACAAGAGCCTGTGTTGGGCTATTTAAAACTTTGACAAATTTCAACCAGCAACAGCAAAACTTTCCTTCTGAAATCTTGGACTGATTACTTTTTTTTTCCTCCTCCACAGAAAACCTCAGCCAAAAGGCTTCCAAAAATGAAGCTAAGAAAAAGCTTTCATGCATGCAGATTATTATTTGTTCATTTAGAAATTAAAAGTTTCTCTTCCAAAATCTTTGAGGAGACGCTTTATGTGGGAGAAAGCGTTATGCCTTAGATATGTTGTCACAATATAAAAATCTGCCTGAATTTGGCCAAACTACATGCTTCAGGGGGAGAAGATACAAATTATCAGTTTATTCACACTTAAGACTCTGTTAGTTATTGAAACTTCAGATTACAGCCTTGCTGAGAACATTTCATCTTCTTGCAGCTGCTTAGTAAACAAGGGCCTGCCTGAGCCATCCACAGTGAAATTCCCTTTTGCACAGAGCTCTGCCATGATTTTAAACTACAGAAGGGGTGATTCAGACAGAGGGAAGAAATATTTCATTATGAGGGTGTTGAGACACTGGCACAGGTTGCCCAGGAGGGTGATGGATGCCCCAAGCCTGGAAACACTCAAGGCCAGGCTGGATTGGGCTCTGAGCAGCCTGATTTTGTTGATATCCCTGCTCATTGCAGGGGGGTTGGACTAGATGGCATTTAAAGATCCTTCCAACCCAAACCATTCCATGATTCCATGTGCCACCTCCACAATGTCCCAGCTGATGGCAAAGCCTCCTGGAGACTGCTCCACAGACAGCATGGCTCGCCAAGGGGTGTCAGCTTCCCTCGTGGCAGCTGATGGAGAAGATGCCCAGTTCTGGCTGAGGGAGAGCCAGAGCCAGGAGGGGATGTAGGGAAAACACAGGGAGATTGGAAAATGTGAGGAGGATGCGATGGAAACCCTCTGGAAATCTGCAGAGAAGAAAAGGGCAGGCTGGGAGCACAGTGCTGAGCCAAGAGAATGGCACTGGGATTAGGAAGCAGCAGTGGGAATTAAAAATGGGTGCAATGAGGGTCTAAACAAGGGAAGAATCCATTTAGGCAAGGGGCTGGGAAGAGCCAGGCTGCAGGGCCTAGGGCAGGAGGGGTAAAAGCCACAGACAGGCTCTTCCTGGGGGATGGGTGGAAAACAATTGCAGCATTCATGCCTTCAGAGCAGGAACTGCACCCCAAATTCCCAATCATGCCTTCCCTTTGCATCAACAAGCACAACAGGCTCGCTGACAAACTCCTTCCCAACAAGAGCAAGCTCTCAGAAAATGGTAATTCATCATTACTTTGTTACTCTAATTGCTAAAATGGCAGCAATCTGCATTTATCACTCATGTGGGTGGATCCGTACTGCAAACTATTTTTGAAGTTTGCTTTAGAAAAAAAACTCCAGTTATTAGAATGAAAACGGGTCTTTTTACAGAAAATTCAAGGTATACACATATATTATGTATATACCAAAGTATATTCTTCCATTCTTCTTACCAAAATTTCCCCTTACTCAGCACATCCCTGGATCTGTCCAGACCTGGATCTGAGCAGTACAAGACAAGGTCCCTGCTCATTTGGCCAAGCATTTGAAGGATGTGAAGTGAATGAGAAGTGTGGGACAAAAAGGAGAATCTCACAGCAATGGCCACTGCTTGGAGAACATCATCCCATTGCTGTCAATACCAGGACAAGTAATTTCAACCTTTCCGTTTTGGTTTTTTTTTTTTTTTTTAATAAGCCTGGATTGCATTTTTTGGTTGTCCAATTTATTCACACAGATAAACACCACTGGTGGCAACTGAGGCCAGTGGGAACTATCGTCTGTAGGTATTAAACACTGAGCATCTTGGAAAATTAAAGCTCCATACAGGTGAGTTTGTCAGTCCAAATCTTTGAATTATTTCTGATCCTCTTTCTCAAAGAGAGGAGAATCACCAGCCACTTGCCCAGTGGACTAGCACACTTTGTGAAGCATCCAAATCCTGGAGGCACCAACCTCACCAGTCCACAAGGAACCCAAGTGACTCCATCCTCAGCAGTGATTGATGTGTGTGGTAAATGCAGCAAAGGCCACGTTGGAAGCAATCCTGAATGATGCAGAGGTGTTCTGAAAAAATGTGCTAGAAAAGCATCTGATAT